GCGGACAAGATGGAAGATTAAAAGGTAGAGTGAGCGTGACGGATTTGAAAGTACCACAGCATCTTCCTGTGTAATGTCTTCAGAGAAAATGTTACATGTGACCAGAAATTTAAAAAAAAAAATCACACTTGCTAAATCAAACAGATGGTGCAAAGATGAGCTGATCTGGCCAAAGCCGCAGCAATAACAGGAAACCTTCTATTTGACGAACAAAACAAACAACAACAAAAAAAAATAAAAAATAGTCAGCTGTATTGTGCGCTATATATAATTTAGTACATAGGGATTAGGAAGTAGGGGTGATTACGAAAAACACCCTCAGAAAATTCCCATGACTACCTAAAAGTCATGCATAAAGGGTAAAAAAATGCTAAAATGCTTTAATCGAGGCCATCTATTGGGGAAATGTGGGTATTGCAGGGAAAAAAAGCAAAAGTATAATGATAATATAAATAAATTACATAATTTGGAAAAGTTTGGCGGCCCGATTTACAAAGCTTAACGGGCCGCATCTGGGCCCCCGGGCCTTAGTTTGCCCAAGCTTGGGCTAGAGAATAGTTACCGTGGTCAAAAACGACAGAGATTATATTTAGAAGAAATGGCTAAGGCTAATTAGAATGTTAGCTAAAATGTTAAATAGGCATGTTAAATAGTACATAAAATTGATGATAAAATGTCGAAACCCAATTCCGACTTTTCTTCCCAACTGACCTTGTTCTAGAAGCGGAGGTGTTCCAGAGTAACTCTACTGTCTACTTCACAGCGATGCTCAGGAAATCCTGGCAGGTCGCTACAAGCATCCTGGTCTGGTCATCATGGGGGGGGGGGGGGTCCTAGACTGTGACCTTTAACCTCATGAATTCTTTCATTTTGTTCCCCAAATAGTCATATTGTTTTAGGCTTTTTTTTCCCGTCTTTTCATCAGGGAATATAACCGTCAGAACAATTGTTGACAGGATGTTTGAAAAGTGGATAGTTGATGAGCGCAGCGTGAACGTCTGTTCCACCCTTCACTAAGGGAAAAGTCCTCCTTTAAATCCTATTTTCAGGCATGTTTACAAAATGGCTAAACAGCGGAGGAAGGGCCATATTAATGCCTCAGATCTCAGACACTCCCATTCTCTTGGCCCGGAATCAGAACCCTGCATGCTGTCAGCTGTGTGTTGTGACTTGCGCTCCTGCAACTTGCGAACAGAAGGCGTTTATTTTTCTGCAGCCACCACACCCAAGAAAAGTGTTTTTCAGACAGGAGAAAGGGGAGGGTAACGGGTACCGGCTCGCGCTCTCGAGCCTGCGGAACCCAGACGGTTCCCCCGAAGGACGATTATCCCTAATAGCAAATGTATGTGTTTTATAAAGTATGACATATAAAGTGGATCTGCCGTCCGCTGCGTGCCCTGAAATCCAGTGCCATGCTAACAGAATTACATCGCCGACAAAGCGTCCAGAACCCAGTGAAGAAGTGCAGTGACCTCTGTCTGGTTCCATTTGAGCGGATAAAAGCCAGGGCGCCCCCCCACCCCTCCCCTCCGCGTCACGTCGCTCCTCTGATCCTGTCGCGTTGTTGCTCTTCCGCTCTGACAGGACAAAGCTGCAAGCGAGTCGAGACAACAAAAGGGAGACGCTGGACCCGTGGACCACTCCCAGGCCTCAGCTGAAACCCAAGCATCCTTCAGGGACGGACCCACCCAACACGGGGCTTCAGCCCCGTGACGTTTAGCAAACGTTTTCCCACGTCTTGATAGCTGATAGTGATTTATTCATTCGTCTGTGCACTTGTGTATTTTTTTTTATATATACATATCTATGTAAGCGCATCCGTTTGTCTTGAGTTTCTCACGCTAGCCACAGAATTCCCTAAGCAACGGTCGCACAGCGGGGTCAATAACACTCAGTTCAGCTAGCTCATGATGTCATGTCTCTGGACTGTGGCTACAGCCACACTGCTCTGTTTCCAATTTGAAAATGCATGTCATTTTTGGTCGACGCGTTGCAGCGCTTGGTGATATAACACACGGCGGCATTCTTCCGAAATATTGGCGTTAGCGGAAACGCAACAATTCCCATAACCATGCAATCGTTTTTACGCTATGTACAAAGTATGATCAATAATTTTTTTTTTCCATTTCAAGAATAAGATTTGACACCCCCGTTTAAGGATATTCCCGTTTAAGTCCTACACACTTGGTACTCCGTGTCCCGAATATGGGATCTAGAAAGTAGGCCGCGTGCTTCGACCAAAAAAATGGCCCTACATTAGGATGACTCAATAGTAGTGTGGCCAACATGACAGGCTGTAAATGCATTACCGTAATGCAGTACTCAAATAGTGGGGCGGGCCCCCATGGGGGGACACGGTGAGGTGCCGGGGGGGTCCTAAGGGTCTTCTGATGGAATATGGTATGCATATGGACATAAGTGTACCTCTGCTGTAATGCACGAATGATAACAAGACTCCAGTCACTAGGTGGCAGCAACTCATACAGTGGTTTGTACAGATGAAAGAAAATATACGGTATCAGGTTCTCAATAGTATAATATATACGGTATCAGGTTCTCAATAGTATTTAAATTCACGGTGGTGTGGGTCGAGGGGTCAAGGGGACGGGGATAGAAAATAATTAAGAACCACTGCCATAATGTGACCCACATCCCAGACGTGTTATTTACACAAGTTGGTCTCTGAAATATGTGCAGAGTCGGCATCAATAGGGTACTATGTAAAAATTGCGTTTGCGTATTAATTGTAGGTTCTCGGTGCGATGTAAAATTGAGACATCCAAAGTTTTCAAACCACTGCACGCTAACGGCTCCCATTTTTTTTACGCAATAATCGGACCTACACGTGTTTATAGGTCATCGCAGGAACGGCGTGCTGAAGCTAACGCTCGCACTCCAAGGTCTGGCCCAGCAGGCACCCACTGATTCTTTGTGCAGCAGCGTGGTAGGGACCGCGGCGTGTCTGTGGGTGTTGTTCCGGTGTAATGAGCCATGTGGTCACGGCAGCAGACGCGGACTGTCGACAGGCAGCGTCACGCCCCCGCGCTCTCCAGCCATTCCAAAGCATGCCGGGAGAAGCGCCTTAAGTCCGTAGGTTCCCCCGTGCGTTTACGTCCCAAACAAAGGAAGCAGATTTACGCCAAACCGGCATCAAACCGGAGCTGCTGACAGAACCTTTAACACTACTTAGTTCTTCTCTCACTTCCTCTTTAGCCCCCCCTATCACATTTAAGATGTTTGCTTGTCCCAATCCGACAGGTTTTTTTTGTTGTTTTTTTTGCAGTGTCCACGTACATTTGCATTTGGTTTTCTCTCTCGTCGCTCTGTACCTCGGAGATAGTGGCGCCGCGAGCCGTTGCGGAGCTAATGAGCAGCACACCGCGCAAGGGTGACCCCGGGACCAACCACAGGGCAGAGGATGACGGATGGGAAGCTTTTATCTGGGCAATAAACATTAGCTCCTATGGCTTGCTGTCTTATCTCGCTGAGACTTCAAGTTTCTCCCGCAATAGGATGCCACAAGATTAGAGTGCCGACACCTACGTATCCTTCCTCTTCAGCAAGGGACACTAATGGCTGGTTTTTTTTTTTTTTTTCGAAGAAAAACTTTGCAACTTTTTGCAAAGTTTTTGGCCTTATGTAAAATTAGCATGAGCCGCTTTTAATTACGGCCACATTCACAAATATATTCTCAGTTTGACCGACGGTGTCGTTGAGGGACTGACAATGTGGTCAAATCGAAAAACAATTTCAAGGTGCGAGTGCTCTCTGTCCACTAGCTAATGTTAGCGATTAGCACCCGCGGCTAGCCTCGAAAGCCTGCAACACACTGCTGCAAGTAAAAAGCGTAAAACTGACAAGGCATAACAGCCAGCCTATAGTTCAGACTCAGAATCAGAAATAAATTCAGATGCAATATATTTAAATAGGTACATAGAAAATATACCAAATATACCAAATATAACATGACAAAACATCACGGACATGAAGTGTTTGTGCATTTTTTTTTTCCACTTTATCACCTTTTTTTCAATTTATCAAGCGGGCCAGATTGAACCCCCCCTCCCCTTGCGGACCGGTTTTGGTCCACGGGCCGTATGTTTGACACCCCAACTGTAGACATTTAAGTCCATGTTTGTCCCCATTTGTTTTCATGCATAGTAGTACAAGTATGTTAGGTAAAATCTGAAATATATATCATTATAATATATATATATATATTTGATTTTGTTTTTCAAAATTCATCAAGCGGGCCAGTTTCGGCCCTCGTGCCGTATGTTTGACATCGACGGCATAAAGGATGTTCAGTGGTCTGTCACAGGAAAAATGAACGTCCCTTAGGGCGAGTGGGTCAGAAAAATGGGCTACACCTGGGCCATGATGTTACACACATGATACTGATCTATAAGTGTCCTCATGACTACAGCGATGGGACCGGTGCTGTGCACCAGCGTGTGTGTGCACCGGTGCACCTCCGCCTGGAGTCCGCACAAGCCTCAGGACCCCCACGACAACCGGAGCGACAGCTTACACCGAGTGTACAACAGTTAATATTTAACAACATACTATGTTATTCATTAAAACAGACACACAGACAGAGACACGCATGCGCACAACACGCACCCAAACCTTACGAACGCAGCTGTCACCAAGAATGGCTCCAGGGCGCAGGGTTGTCCTGCTTGTCGGTGTTGTGTCTTTCAACCGCTTTCACTTTGTTGTTCGAATTTAAAAAAAAAACGAGTGAGCAGAGAGAAGAGTGTTTTGCACACACTGCTGTCAGGGGGCTAGTGTGTGTGTGTGTGAGTGAGTGAGTGAGTGAGTGTGTGTCAGTGTTGGTCATGAGGTAACGTCGCGGCTCTTTCTATTTCTTTTTCCCCGGGATAACATCTGCTAGTATTCGGGCTCCGAAACAATAGTTGTGCGCAGCGAAACTGCCAATACATATACATATGTGTATATGTATCTATACTACAGGTTAAATCAGGTAGTGAACTCACCCCATGAGAGAAGAAGAAGAGTTAAAGTCTCCAAAAGTTGCCCAGATGTTTTCTCCTTTCCCCCCCCCGCCACCCAAAAACAAAAACGTCCAATTTCAGGACTTTCGTCTCGTTTGAGTTCGTTGTCCCCTTCGTTCGTTGCTGACAATCAAAAGTTCCGTGGAGGCGAGAGTCGTCTAGACAGGAGTAAATCCATGTTGTCGGCCCTGCGTGCGCCAACGCGAATTAAAAAAAAAAAAAAAAAAAGAGAGAGAGAGGGAGAAAAAAAAAAACCCCCGCGGAAAAAAAAAAAACCCCTTGCGTAAAAACTCAACTCGAGCCGGCCGCGCCGAGATACCTCCCACACTGCAGAGGAAAGAATGAATGGAGGCGAAGACTTACAGCGCGAGCGAGCAACAGCAAAAAAAAAAAAAAAAAACAACAAAACGATCCGGCAGGCTCTTCTGATGGTCGTTCCCTACAGTCTGCATGAGAACAACAGCTCCACGGGGCTGTGGAGCGTCAGGGAGGCGCGCGCACAATGACGCGGACGCACAATACACACCCACCCGGAGTGAGGGAGTTCAGACAGTAGGGTGGAGAGAACAAAAAAAAAAAAAAAAAAAAAAAAAATTAATGAAAAAAAAATGTGTAACTGACATCTACAGTGTGGAACATAAGCATGATTTGCGCACACGGTATAATTAAATACGCATGTTTTTACCGATTCCCGGCCCTTAATTCGCGCACAAATAAAGTCCAGATGTTCGTCCTCTTCCTCCTCCTCCTCCTCC